TAATATGTGTCTGGGCCCACCCGTGAATGTGATAACAAGTACCTACCCATCTATCTCATACACATCTACCTTAATACACCCATCTGCATAATATCCAACTACCTCGGCCCACCCGTCTACCTAATATTCATGTACATCGGCCCACTCATCTACTCTATATATTCCCTGCATGGGCCCACCCGTCTCCATCGGGAATAATTTGCCTCCCGGCCCATCCGTCATAGTCGAGGATATTTTTATCATGGGCCCATGGTCCGCTGGCCCGTATCATACGGGATATTATGCATGTCCGTTCCCTCGTATTATACGGAGATAGGTCACTGTAATATGTGGCCACAGATGGTATGACATGTGCTGGCATGTCGACCGGTGGGAGTTGTAGAGATCTGAATGACTGTATATTACACGATGCCTGCATGTTCGGATCATCCGGCATCACGCCCTGAGGTTCTTGCTGAACCTCTGAATATGTTGTCAAAATCATCAATGAGCATCTCCGCAGGATATGATGAATGAGCTTACCAATCGGTGGGTTCTCAAACATAACTTTCTGCAGGGCAAGGGAGGACAAATGTCCAGACAGTTTAGCTGTCTTCGGAGGAGCTGATACAACATGTGTTTTGACAGCAGTGCGTGACTTGGGTGCATAAGTCCTGGAACGTTTGAATTATGTATTTATGCCGATTTTGATCACAGCTTTCTGCGCCTTTGCTTGCAGCCTCTGCCGGATACCAACCCCGTCGATGGTGCAGGTAATCTTCATCTCATTGCAGTTTGCACAGGCCAGTCTGGTACACCCGAACTTCTTGTCAGGCAAAACAATGCATCACACATCCATTTTGATGCATTTGTCGCATTTCCGGGGATGATAGCAAACAGAATGCTGGAATAGGTGAGGCAATATGTAATCAAATTCGATTGCCTGCCTACCTCTGCCGCCGTAGCAACTGTGGCATCTAGACCCCATCCGGCCGGCTGGATAAACCCAAGTGAGATGGTAACTCCAGCGACATATGCGACTCACCCTGGATTCTGCATCCCAAAAACCTCTCTCATCCACATATTCGAATGGTGGTGTGTTTGTCCAAGCCACAGCATTGCAGGCTTTCACCGACAACGCCCTCTGCTGTATTAACTTACATTGGCAACTAAGAAAGTAATGCTCTGAATGTCACCTTCACATGAATGGTATCGGTGGTGCCTTTCCCCTCTTCATCCGACGTAAATGTTCTCTTTTGTTTCTGAACCGGCTTCCGGGATACCAAATTTGGTTCGGGATCGCTGTCGTCGGTTTCCAGCTTCCTTTTCTGCGGCCCGCCAGTCGGTGTGTTGCCCTGCCATACTGTTCTTATATTTCCACGAACATTTCATCTGACTGTCACGGGAGTGATTGAAACGGAACATGGGGGCGGTGGTTCCAGTATGAGCATGCGGGTTGCAGTGCTTCATATGCCTGATATGATCAGTTCCGCAACCGGTGCAGCAGGAGATGGCAACTCAGATATGCTTGGTTGTGCCTCTGGGACAACATGGAGCGACTGAATGAGATCTGGGGCCTTTGATGCCATGAGTTGTTCAGGTGTACATGCTGGGATTATATCTATGAGGGTCCCTCTAGTTGAATGCGGCTCCACCAGGACAGTGGATGACGACATGCTGAGTTCCGGTTCTTCGTTGGGATATGTGCGGGGGGGAGGACAATAGCCTACAGTCTTGTGGAACCATGGGTGTGTCCTAATACATGGGTCGTTGTCGACCATGGAGTTCCAGTTGGGCAATGATACAAATGCCCCAGCTTTTGAATGCTGCCGTACTACGGCTGCGCAAGACAGCAGCTGAGGGGAGAACGATGTGGCGGCGCCCCCATAAAGCTTCAAATCTTTTGCCTGTGCCAAATTGAGTTGGTTATCCAAAAATACATTTACAATCGTAGGCAGCGAGGCTTACCACCCGTCTGGCAATCTCATCGGAGAATATCAACGCGGTTGGGTCACTTTCCTTCAATTTCATACAGCGCTTCATCAGCGGTTGTACAGCCTCAAGCGTGGAGTTGAGGGCTTCGTTTGCCATTTCCAAAGGTGTCATCATCAGTATATACAAAATGTAGTGAGTAACTGATGATGAAAAAAGATGGGTTCGATGACTTTTATAAAGTCTCGGGATTTATACCAATAAGTCGGGCATGGGTCTTTCCGCGAACGCATGGCCATTATGGCAACTTGGTAGTCTGGCTCATCACGGTCAAGTTAAAACTATAACATAATACAACTTCTTCGGCGATCGTTGTCTCATGCATTTGGTTGCCGCGGCCGGGTGGTCCAATGATCGAAGCATACCTTTGCGAGCGGTAAGTGTTCCCCGACTTTTATTTCAAACTAAACATTCATGGTAGGCAAACATGTTTGTTTGACTGTGCCCATGTGTTCAGATTCCAGTGACTCGGTGGCAAATGCTTCTTACAGGCGTCCTAATTGCCATAGTCGCTATGACACTTTGCCGACTCCAACAGTTGCACAAACACTGAGTCGTTGGATACAGCTCAATGGGCATTTGATGTCTCCTTGCCTGGTTGCGTGGATGAGTGCCGTTAGAATCTCGCATTCCACCCAAGCAGTTAGTAATGCAGAGATTCAAATGTAAGTCTGCCCGAGACTTTTCCAATCCAGGCATGCTAGGAACTCCCATGCAGGATATAAATAGGGGGACGTGCGGCCGAGTCATGAGCAGACAAACAATCCTCTGGCAAACAAAGACATGAGTCTGTAATCCCTGACTCAACAAATCTTGCTGAGTGCACCTGGTATGGCAGGGTGTCATGCTTCAACAAAGAATTTGACAAGGTCACGCATGTGGCTGTGTGTATGGTTTCGGCCTACCCTTGATGCATTCTAATCAATTCATACAGATATCATTGCCCTTGACATGTTCACGGACATGACTTCACAGCAATGGCTGCTTCATCAGTCACGGGATATGCAAATGCTGGACCATTTTCTGACATTGAAATCTCAGAGGAGGGCGGCATCGGCTTCGTAGGACCGTTTAACCTTAAACATGAAGATTTACAGCCAAATGGAGGTAAGCACCTCGCAAATAACTCGGATAGAACTAACTAGCTCTAGAGAAACAAATGATATCACCGGGCCATCGGATCCTTGTGACAGCGGGTAGGATGATCCTATGGATGCTGAACATTTGGCTTCGGGCCCATCTGCGAGAGAAAAGAAAGACATGCGAGTGTACATGGGAGGAGCCGATGTAAAATGACCACATTCTGGGAGGTGAGGACGGTCCTACAATTCTGGATAGGGTTATTATACATATGCCCATAACTTTGCCGCAATGACAAATGCCAACAATATCCAAAAACACTGTGAATGGGAGAATCGGAGTGAAGATAGTTCTGCTCATATCAGGGTCACCTTGAGCACCTCACATGACGACTGTTACGATTGTGGATCGGACAAATCGACAAACACCAATGCTGTGCCCAGTGACAAGGATCCAGACAAGGATCGGAAGACTATGTTGTATGGACCAATTATTATTGACATCACATCATCTTCAGGGCGCAAGTATGTTGCTCACATTCTGTTTGTCTCGCTAATCATATCATAGCTCCCGCCCCAATAACCATGCCCGAAGTCAAGCTGACCTAACCATTTGTGATCGACCCGACATTATCATCCGCATGTGAGTGTTTCCGGATAAATATGCTGGTCATGTTAGCTCATGATACTGCGCGTTCATTATCTTTGAGTAGTGCGTTCCAACTCAATGCGTTCAAGGAAGCCAGGCAGTTGATCCACCCTGCGGTCCAGTGAACGACTTCGGGGATGATCTCCATAAGTCGCTCTGACTTGCACAATACTTACCAATGACATTTACTTATGATATGTAATGGCGATATTGGTGATACAGTAATGCTCAATAACACTTTTCGGTGTGACCCACTTCTGGCACCTGCCCACCTGAGGATGCAGTTCAAATGCACTGTTTGCTGATCATCGCAAATATTCAGGAAGATCATCAGCAAGAGTAATAAGACAACACTGAATTTCAGGAATAGTGTGGAAGTGGCTCATTAATAACTAGATGCAAGCACCGGAAGTCAGATATATAAGCATTTCTGGCTTCGTGTGACCATGGGCCTGTACTTCGACATCATAACAGGAATCGGCATCTGGCATGTGCATGTTTGGTAGGCATCAAGCTCTATCGCGGAGGCAGCTGTGATCGACGGAGAAGTCACCAAGACATTGCGGGTGCCTCCAAATATCATATCGGGATCTGTCCCTCTACAAGGGAGATGTCTACGCATCACCGTCTTTGACAAACTGAATGAGGCCGACGATTCAGAGTTGGTGAAGCAAAGGAAAGTACATGACAGAAGAGCTAGCTTATGTTGAGTCGCCAATCAACCTGCCGCGGAGATGATCGAGGCACAGTTATAGAAAGTAAAGTCTCTGCTACCTAAACAATCCACCGGATTATACTTATTCACCTTCTGTAGCATTAACACAGAGGCCATCAGAGCTGGCTGTTTGGGAGGGAATACATCACGCGGCACTGTTACATGGATTACAGCGGGCATTACCATCTAAGAGATGCGGATAACACTTAGTATAGGTATTATAAAGATGAGGACACGCCCTGCTGAGAATCAAACCTTGGATATTTGTAACTGCCGGGCAAAATTGCAGAGTCGGATAGATAAATTCACAATTGAAAGGCTCGTATGACAATAATGCAACTGCTCGTAGATAAACTGCTGTTACCTCTGTTCCACATGCTATTATTGCTCATTGCTTCGCCAGTGGTGCATTGCAAACTGTCCATCCCAACTGTTGGTGGACGGATTCTTGGGCACAAATGCATGGAACAATTGTGGAACCACTCTTGGACACAATACTGTTACTCCCGGTCCACATTTTTGCATCCACAAACCACAAATTTCAAGAAATACCCACAACCACATCCACGGAAATCAAGACTTGTCAGAATTTCACAAAGTCAGCTTTCCTCCACCGCATTCATTACATTCGTCACTACCATACTTTTTCTTCCAGAAAGAATCATGACCATACCTCCTGCACAAGCTAACCATGCCTTGAATATCACATTGGCCACCCTGCAATCGCTCATGAAGCATTGCATCAAGGTAAAGGAGGGCAATCCTGAGGCCTTAAGGCTATCAGATGAGATCGCTCAGTGCATGGTAAGTCTTTCTGATCTTGCCCTTATTTTTGTCTGGGTGAAACTGATACATTTAACACAGGCCAAGGACTTGAAATTGTATGGCGGGAACACCACATCATTCTCACTGCAGCTGCTTTCTTTTGCTGCTGTTGTGAGAGAGAACTCAAGGGGCGGCGCCTTCAAGAGTGTCCCTGAGACCTCTGTTACAGACGACGACCTGCGCATCAAGAGCCACCCACGCTTTGATAAGACCGTGGATTATCTCCCACCGTCCTCACTCGATGATCTTGTCATCGCCACCACAGAAACTGCCAATCCCACTGCTGTCCTCGCAATGGCAACCGCCATTGTCCCACCATCAACACAATTGGCCTCGCCATCCACGCCATCCCTCAAGGATTCAGATATCCTTGCTGGGCCGGAACCGGAACCGAATGTATCATCGGACCTTGGGAAGGAAAAGGCCGAGGACCCTCCCATTCCAATCAACACTGCCACGGCTCCGCCAGCAAAATTCAACCTCTTCATGGCGGGCACTAAGAAGAGAAAGGCTGCAGAAGAAGATACAGATGCCATGGTCGTGGTAGCCAAGACCAAATTGCCTTCCCCGTCTAAAGAGCCAGTCAAGAAAAGGAAGATCTCATCAAAATCCATTTCCAAGAAGGAATGGGGTTCAGATGATGATATTGCTACACCATGGAAGGTATGACTTTTCTGCATGGTGTTGAACACAAGCTAAAAAAATTACAGCATTCTGTTCGCTATCACCCCTGGCAGTGCGACAAATGTGCCAAATTGGACATTGCCTGCCTTGTCCTCCCCGACAAGAAATTTGGATACATGTGCCTCGCCTGCGCAAATTGTGACAGCATGAAGATCACTTGTGCTATTGACAGTGTTGGTGTCCGGCAGAGGTTGCAAGCGAAGGCAGCAAAAGCATCCTCTGACCCGCCCGCACAACCAAAGGCTTCAAAATCCCGAGCTGTCTCTAAAGCACTCGTGATGTGTCAGTCTCGCTCGCAACAGAGCATTGTTCAACATAAAGGTATGTCTTCCCGTCTCCTCAGAACGAGTTGAGCTCATGTAGATTCTCCAGAGGAAGAGAAAAAGCCGCTTGATGTCCTTCCGGGTAGGGCTCAAATGCAACCAGAAGATGCGCAATCGCTTGTGCCCACCAACCTGCTGGAACCAGAGCCCACTGCAAGAGAAATCTTACAGGGCATCCAGGACCTCGGCAGGAGATTGGATCTCCTCGCCGCCAATGAGCGGGTGGATGCATTGGAGGTGAGGGTGGGTTCGATGGAGACAAAGCTGCTTAAGAGGTTGGACGGATTAGAGCAACGGCTTAATGAATCCGATGCACGGTGGAGATCTTTGGAATCCCTAGGATAGATAGAAAATTTCGGAATGACTTCAAACACTGACTAGCTGCATAAAATGCATCCGATGGATTCCCTTCATGTACGATAGATGCTCCAGATGACTTTGTACTATTATATTATTGCATGTTCAGCCTGGTGCTGCTTGTGTATCAGTGTTCAATTTATTGAGTCCACGCAAATTGTGTATATAATGGAGCCATTGTCATTTATCATTTCATTCTGAATAGTTACAAACAGGCGCTTTCCTTCATGTCGATCCGATGTTCGGTGATATTGATTTTAAATATTGCGGGTTCAGTGAATGCACCTCTGATGATGGTTGTGTGTCGGTATAAATCCGGAGGCCACTCGACATCCGTACAGTGCATCCCTCTGACATGTAAATCTGTGTTAAATAATAGTACTACTTTATTTTGACTAACAGTGGGTATATGAGCTTACACAAATTGTATTTACATTTATTCTACCGGGATGTGCATTGGGATTACCATTCATGCGGCAGCAAGCCACACAATGAGTGCACCCTCCTAGTTGCGCAAATGACCGGGATTCTTGCGGGATGGCATCTCTGCATATTTATCCGATATCATCTCACATCATACCTGGAGGGTGGACTCAGAAGTAATGTTTGATGACCCAGCATGCTAGCAGGGAAGATATCATATGTAGTTGTATGTAGGTGGCAGCCAGGTATTATACCGGCCAAACACTTTTGTTCCGGCATTCAAATTCCCAAACCATCCTGCGACCCGAATAAAATGCATGCATGTGTACCTGAAACACAATACTAACTGGGTGCTTTCATCCTCAAATCCATCTGCATTGCGCTCAATTGTGGCCTTTTGGGCCCAGTTGTAACCAACTATTGTGTCACTTCACAGAATATTTTCTACGAAGTGTTGGACACAGCCGGGAAACCTGGAGGCTGGTGATATACTCATCTCCAGATGGAGAACAGCAATCTGATGGCAACCGCCTCCGTGGTAAACCAGAATTCCTGTGGGCAGCGAAATATGGTGCTACTGTGGTTCTGGTATCTCGACGTAAAAATCCGAGTTGCATTCTGAGTCAATTTTCATAGAATGCGGTTCATACCATCAATTGGCTACGGAAAAAGGCATCATGTGGGCGGCAGCACTTTTACCAGTCACACACTTTGACACGGACACTCTGCAGTGTAGGACTAGCCACTGAGTATGATATTCTCAAGTATGCTAGAGAAATTAAGCTGCCTCTCCTTAGAATGAGACTATGGATAAATAACTTGCCTTTCATATCTGGCTTGCCAGTCAGGAGGTAGGTTAATCCCAGGCTGTGGACAAGCAGGGCAAAACCAAGCCAGATCGTTCTTGTCCAGTTTCTGCTCATCATTATGGGCAAACCTAAACCATTTTCAACTCATCAAGTCTCTCCACAGGCCAGACACTCTCATGAGTTCTCGACATCTATTCTAGAAAAAAAATTAGTGCTGTTAGTTTAACTGTCACCAAGAAGACTTATAAGACTTACAGGAACAGTATCTGGGAAACAGTTATTGGTCATGCGACAGATTTTCTCAAAAAAGCTGAATACCGAAGTCTTGCACTCTAGTGCATCAATTAGAAAATGATTTAAGACATCAAAAGTAAAGGCAGTCTGTGGTCGAATGGTACTTGCTGGAAATAATTTAGCTTTCAGCAATTGCAAATGCTGCTGACAATTGACCCCAGGACAGCTACACCAGACAATATTATACAAAAACACTCCAGTGGAATGTACAATGGTCAACTTGGTTGGTATAGTTGGACCATGAACTATCTCCATCGGTGGGAAATTGGCCTCTGCGTCCATTGGAATATTCTCCCATATATGCATGTTGTCAGAAAATGGACATGGTTGTTCCCCATGGCCCATATGCCAGATAAAACCCAATTCTTCAAGTGATGTGTTGTTGAAGCATTTCCCAATCCACTCTTGAACCTTGTGAAAGGGCAAAAACTGGTAAGCATAAACAATATAAGAATGACAGAATGTCTGATCTCCACTGCAAGTCAAACAATGGAATTTCTCTTCACCAATCTGACAAGACTAGCACTGGGATACATTGGAGAGTTTCTCCAAGTCAAGGAGAATATCCAAGTACAAGTCTCGGAAAGGCAGATATTCTTGGATAAAGTCATTTTGTGTCTGGTCGTAATAATCTCTATTTAGTACATAATTAAAGAACATCCTAAAACAGTGATTGTACATTTTTTGGTAGTTTTCAGTTGTTAGGCTGCACCAAGGGCATCTGAAGCATTGGTTGTCACCTCACACAAGGGTTATGACCAAGTTGTCCCTGGAGGGAAATTTGATAGTGATGCAAGCAGAATGCATATTTCTTTTATGCACATATAGATCTGATGACTTGTTGAAAACCTCCTGGCATGTATCGCATGTGTGAGCTATCTTGTTGAACAGAGATGTATGAGACTTGTGAAACTAGACACCGGTGAGGAGTGGTTGAAAAACTCAGAGCGGAAAAACAGAAATCTGACCAATATTATCAGACCAAATTCTAATAGTACTTGTACTTGAAGTGTAACCAGTATTAAATGACAAACTATGGAAATCTCTTCTGGGACTTCTGAGACTCTTTCTGGGACTTTGGAGATTTCAGAGACTTCTGCAACTTCAGAGATCCCAGGACCTACATACAAAATAAATAATATATACTGGGATCTCTGAAGTTGCAGAAAGAGTCTCCGAAGGTCACAGAAATTTTCTGAGACTCTTTCTGCGACTTCACAGACTTCTATGACTTTCACACGATGGTATAGATAAATTATATTAAGAAGTCGCAGCAATTGGAATGTCTGACTGCAATAGGACTATGGAAGTGGATGGCATGTCAAAAAGTGGGATAGGAGGACGTTCAGGGGGGAGTGTGTGGTGAAATGAAGGGGGTACAAACAGGAACAGGGAAGCGATGATGAGCCTGGACAGCGTCTTGTTGCAAGGGAATCATTAAAGCAGCCGGTGCAGAAGGTTTGAAGATCTTTGATGGTAACCTCACTTTGGATGAAACCATGGTGGTTCGTGTAGGAAGCAAAGGCATGATCATATAGTAGGCCATGTCAAATCCCATTATTATTGCCAAGCTCTGTATGATCAATTTCTCCCCAGTCTGATTGTATTGGATGCACCAGGCCCATGTTCCACATTGAGGTATCAGCTTGCATGAATGAGATGGGAAAAAGTTCATCAGTCTCATTGCCGTCATCTGAAATGCTGTAAGGTGAAAATGCCTAGCCATGGGCTGTCCAATTATGTTAATGAGAGCACATAATAGGGTGCTGACGATCATATGCATTGACACTCTTTGTCATGCTCTTGTATGCCAGCGTTGTCATGCATGGTATGTGATTCATACCATGTCAGATATATATAGAGAGTGATAAGGAAGATATGAGAGACTGTCTAGCCCTCTGTCACTGAGTTACCTTTCTATTTTTCCTTTATTTCATTGTCTTGTATTTTATTTCTCACTTTTCAGATTTATTTTACCTTGTATTTTTATGAGCATGTGACCTTCTGTTTATTTCTCATTATTTATTTTTATTTGGCTACTTTCAGCCACAGATTTGTTTGTCAAAGTTTTGTATCTCTATTTATTTCTGACTGTTTATTTTTATTTGGCTTCTTTCAGCCACCAGATTTTATTTGTCAGCACATCATGTGACTGGGGAATATTCTGGTTTGTAACATTATTTAAGCTGACTCAACATGTTTAGTCATGATTGGTCATGCTTTGTAACAACATTCACATGACTCATCATGTTTTGTCATGATTTGTCATGCTTTGTAATTCTTTGTAAGATTACACTGTATTTGTAATGTACTTAGTAATAAGCTGATTCATCATCTGGTTTGTAAGCCACATTCTTACCAATCCATCTGATAAATCATGCTTAGTAAGGGGGTTCCCAAAAGGTATAAAAGGACCCCATTTTCACCCATAAAATATAACTTCCCATTTTTCATTCTTCTCTCAAACCGTATGAGAGTACGTAAGAATAAAAGTGCAGGCAACGTGCCTTGAAGTAAGACTAAGACACATCATTATTCTATTCTAAAGTTATATACTACCTTACAGGGGTTGACTATATAACTTTCGTTATTGTTATTCTACTCTAGGTTATATACTACCTTACAGGGGTTGACTATATAACCATCGAACAGCTCTCATTCTAAGCTTTACGTGTATACATAAGACTCTCTCTTTCAACGGAAAGTGAGACACATATCGAAGGACGACAAAGTTGAAACAGACTTTCATAGGTTGAAACACGACCTACTAGGCTGAAACAAACCTAACAAATTTATCCAGAACACAGAACATTCCACAACACTTCGTATCAGACTACACAAGAAGAGGACAACAAACTAAATCCTCCCAAGAACTCACCACGTTACCTCCCACGAAGTAGAAAAGTCGGAGACCGTGGACTTAAGGACTGGCAAGAAGTCTTCACCGTGTATAATTGTGTTGTCATTATACACAACTTTTATATAAGACCCTTAAGTAACAAGACAGCGTGAGTGTGGACACACCCAAAAATGACTGATTATATATGGTGCTGCACCAGATATTGAGGTCCCCAGTCTGAGTTATTGCTCTAATGTCCTTAAGCAAACCAATCCCTGGACAATTGTGAAGTTGATGGAGTGGTAGTGCAGTGGTAGGGCCTGCAACAAGCCCCTCAAAAAGCAACTGTGTGACACCCATAATGCCCTTGAGTCGAAGATAGTTCAGAATCATGCCTTCTGTATGGGGGGCAGTGAGATCAACCCAAGTATCCTTCACAACTACTGCCACATCATGGTTCATGCCCATAAGCCACTTCTTCATGAAGTCCCAAGATCCAACAGTTTGCAACACCTCTGTGATGCGCCATTGCGATAACATGACATGACGAGCCATGGTCCCACACCCATGAAGGCTATTACTAATAAACAGTACCATATTGATTGGAACTAGTCCAAAAACTTTTGATCATATAAATCGCCCATTGTCATGCACGATGGATGTCTCCAGACCCACCATACCTGTCGGCATGCATTGTGAGTTCCAGTCTATGAGTGCAGTTGGACAATATACCAGGATCTGCAAGTGATAAGTACAACACAAGCCTCAAGTATTTCTCCATATCTTCCATTATGTTCAACATATCGGGGCAAACAGCACCTGCACGATCAAAAAATGCAAAGGTAAACTGTTCACCAACATACTGCAATGTAATCATGAAGCTACGTGCATCCTGACATCCCCAGATAGTGTTTGCACACTTGGCAGTTTTGTCAAACCACTCTCATTTCTGAATATCAACACCATGCTGCTTCATCTCGACAAGGGAGATAGCTTGACGCCAATCCTGAACAGGATGTTGTGGTGGGTTATGGGACACAAGAATAATGTCAGACTTGCATTCTTCGGCATATCCAGGAAGACTCCTCTGGCAAAAGGCCAAACTCCATATTCTATGAATGTATGACTCTCCCACCAATTCAAGTGTTACCTGCACTACTCAATTCATGAAATTGGTTGTTTGGTCTTCGGTGCTGCTTCCACCAGCAAATTGGCAGGTAACATGCGGTGCTTTCACGGACAACCTATGATTCCAATTTGCATCAGAAAGTAATAGATCAACATGATCCATACCTTTATTGTCCAGGTACCATTTTTCCTTGAACTCGATGAGAACATTCTTTACACTTTGAATTTTGGTATGATCATCGATGTTTTTGCAGTGTTGGAAGGTAACTTCATCTTGACATAAGTTATTGATGACTTGGCACATTACTTCTTTGTTGTTATCACTCTACATAGCCACAAATCCTTTGGATGGGTTTGCAGAGTCAGATGGGTGCATTGGAAGTTCTAGAAATGCCCTAAGTTTGCAAGCCTGATTGGCAACTGAGTTTTGGTATGCCTCATCGGTCTTTGGAATGAAACCCCTTGATTGAACCTCAAAAGAAGCCTGTAGACTGCTGCAATATAGGTATAGAAAAGAGCAACTCACTGTGTTATAACTTCTATGTTCCAAATGCACAAAAGGTAGGCTGAACAAAGGTTCAGACAACACCATTGAATGGAAGGGTGAAGACAGGTTGTGAGGACAACCATGCAAATAAGGGTTATCAATGGAATTCTAATCAAGTGGGTGAGTACATGGGTTACTGAATCTTGATAGAAGCATTCAGACTCACACTTGATACTTTTTCCGAACCAATTCCAGACCAACATGCTTGAACCTACATGGCAGTACCTTGTGTATGCAGCAGGAAAAGAAGGTGGATCAAACCGGTGACGTGTAATGAGTTCCATTGGTTGAGAGCTCTGATTGGTGGAAAGCTATGTGATTATGAGCAAGTCGCGATCACATCCCTAGACTGGAGGCAATGTTTGGGTGTTTTGAGAAATTTGTTGTATTGCGATGGCTAAGTACCAACTTACATGTTTCAGGTAGATATCAAATTACAGAAGAGCAGACCTTCTAAGTATGCTCTGGGCTAACCTTGGGCCGGAGACTCTAGCCCAAACAAACAGCACACATAATACAAATATTAGAATTGAATTTTGAAGGTTGAATGGAAGATGTGTCAAGAAATCAGTATCACACAGAAAGTTGGGCAAGGACTCAGTCCCAGTGAAAATTGATAAGAATGAGGTAGAAGTATAGTGTAGGATAGTTTCATTAATTCTGGACAGTGGAGTGTGTCAGGGACGAAAATACATGATATGGATTTGCTTACTTTGTCACTAAGGAGGAGGCCTGAGGTCCGGCGCAAGGTGGTCACAACCATTGACATGCATATATACACTTTGTCATTGAATAATGTTCAAACTCCACCTGAGGCCAGTCTGGGCTTCAGCGCTTCAGCCTTCAGGTACATAAGACAAAGGCTACGGCATGGGTCAGTATAATCATACTCGTTTTATGATGTCTACTCACTGGGGTATTTTTAGCTTGGTTCTTCTTTGATAGTACAAGTCGAGGATGGCACCAACGTCAATGACTAAGAGTGTACCCCAGCACAGTCCTAGGGTGGTCCGGTAAAGAGGATGAAGGTGATATGGCAGACTATTAGATCAGTATTATGTAACACTGTTTTCTTTGAGGGTTGATAATGAGTGGGAGTTGTGTCAGGACAATAATTATACACTACATGTTGTCAAAAATTTCCAATGGTAGGTACCTGGCTGGAATGTGACCCCAGGGTCAAGTTTTAGCCATTTCTGGACCTATGGCATATATGAACCAGCTTCCAAGATGGTTGATTTTCCGGATTTCAATCACCTCAAAGACATAGTTTGGCCATCAAGCATCAAGTTTGAACCAGCTGCTACTATGGGTCCAAAACAACACCATATGTATACATATAATAAATTATATGCAGTGTACACATTATTTGATAATGATTTTAAATATTATGAATATGCATTAATATTCCATTTAAACTGTGAATACATGGTAGCTATAGGAAATACAATGCTGATGCCGTGCACTTGCTACAGCTCTGGCAGCCTGACTATATACTAGACGAATGCATGCACACACTGGCGAGCGAGGGGCTACATGAGGTATTCATCTGTGGTCAAGATGAAAATCAATGGAAGCCAGACTTACAGAAAATTGATAGACAATGTTGGCTTCTGTTAAGATTGTTTTCTTGCTATTCTGCATTATGGCTTGCGTGGGTGCTAGTAATTTCGGGGTAGATGAGAGTTGCTCACATTGATATTGATGGAGGTCGCAGCGCTGATGACCTTCCCACTCTCAACCTGGGCTCTGGAGTATAAGTGACTTTCAAGACTATTAATCTTGTTGATCATCTTACTGGGTCATGTAGGTTGCGGTAGTCCAGCATGGACCTGGAAAGAGGGCTCATATGTAAGTCGGCAACTTGGCAGCAAGAGAATAGGAATGCACACCTGACTTCCTGAATTTGCTGACCCTGAAACAATTGCAAGGTTTTAAATGGTCCCTAACAGAAGTAGACACACTTACTTCCAAACTATTGGAAAGAAGTCCTCCCAGAGGCCGTCCAGGTTGGGACTCCAGGCGAGCATGATCGTGTCTCCCTTGCTGAGGTCGTTACTGCGACACATTGGATGAGAATTTTAAAGCGAGATCATGGACACTCACAACTGGAAGGTCAAATTCTGATGAAGGGTTGGGGTGACATTGTTTTGGATAGTTAAAACACAAAGTGTACTAGTAGTTGAGATTGAATGTGGATTGAAGAGCTTAAGTTCTGTAGTTAGAGTCTCAGCAAGCTAACCATGGTAAGCGGGAACAGATATGAACTTGAAATATAATATAGCAGTCATCACTGTTGTCGAGAAGGTAAGTTTAAACTCCGTGCACCTTGATCTGAACACTTACCATGCGGCACAGCCATATACGATCACATACATCCAACTGCAGGATGATGCCAGTGAGCATAACTATGCTTCTTGAGGTGGTTCCTGGTTGATCTTTTGGTCTGAAAAGAGGTAACAGCTCGCATAGTGAGCACGGGCACAGATGCTGCTGGTGTGTCAAAGCCAGCAAATTCAAACTAATAATAATGCTATACAAGTAAAAAGTATCATTCTTACCATTCGTTGGCTGGTAGGCATGCAAGATAGCACGCAACAACCTGTATACCTCATCTGAACACTGGCCTCGTCAGGTGGATGATTGTGTGTTGTTGGAGATGTGTGCAATAGAGTGCTAGCATGTGGTAAACAGATGCATGTAGTTGGTGCGAATAATAAGTACTAAGTACTAGAAATAGGTTTAACTTCCATAACGGGATTTAACAAGTTGTCCTAGACGACTTATGCATTTGACTCACTGAGCTGCCGACGAATGTTCTTATATATTCATTAGCTGCAGGCTATGAGTCCAGGACTCCAGGTGGATGTAGCTAAAACATAGATAGTACACAGGTGAGAGTGGCTCTAAGTTTGAGCCATTGTTGACACCAGTGGTAATTTAAACTTTAAAGTGTCAAATTTCTGACATCGTAGAAGTTGGCTGATGTTTGATGGCTTTAACGTGGCTGAAACCTTAGGTACCCCCAGATTCTCAGCCATCTCTAAGCCATCAGAATTTTTGTACAACATACAGTGTTATAACAGTCGTGTTTTTGAGAGATAAACTTATGCAACTATGTTTTGTCCACTGTAAACTGGGAGTCTGAGTCAGATGATATTCAACCAAATAGCTATAAACATCACGTGATAAACACCAATGACTCAGACAATTGCAGAATCTTGTATACCATGCCTGCTACTTAGTTCTTCTGATGCCCCCCAAATTTAGATCCAGTATGTCAATATGTTTTACCCCTGATGTGGCAGATCATCTGTTGCAGATATTGGAAGACACTGTGCATGTTCCTACTGCTCTCCTTAGCCTGCACCAACTTTTAATCAATGAAGCTCATAGTCAAGGTAACTCCATGTTCTAGCTAGCCTATCTGGCTGGCCATCGCAGGGCCCGATGCCAAGTTGAGAGCACAGATTATGCCGATTCATCACACCTTACGAAGAGAGCGCGCAAAGTTGCAACAGGCACACACACAGATGCTGGGCCACCAGGGGAGCTACCTGAGCCTGCATTCAATCTGCCTTTCACTGATAATCCTACTGATGATTGCAACCTTGGTGCGCGTCAGTTACAACTTTGTCAGCAGTGTGCTACAGCACTTGGTCACGATCCTCTTGGACCTGTCATGGAGGAAGCGGAGAACAGCCATTCTTGATAGTGTGTGCCTCAAGACTGGTCTTCACTCAACAGACATCTATAAGAAAGAAATTCAACACAACACTTCAGTTGGGTCAATCTCTTATTGAAGCTTTGTGGAATGGCACTCAATCAGCTGCAAGTTCATTGTCATCGCCTGCAGTGGTTCCATTTATTCCTTGGTACTTATCGCTGGTCTGGGCCTCAGGGTTGCTGTTGTGTCCATGGTAGGGACTGTGCACTTGAATCCAGCAAATATGCTACATTTGCCACCACAAAGTAAGTTATTCTTCTGGTTCCCCCTGTGAAATTGCAGTAATACAAGCTTAATTTACAGATTCTCCTCAAAGAAATCTCATTATGGAATACATAGCACCCACGATCACACACATGCATCTAATGCACCCCATCACTTTGGACACAATGTTCTCTCCTGCACTTATTGCTAGATTCACAGTGTCAAAGTCAGTTGACTGTACAGATCTCTCAGTGTCTGATTGTTTCTTGATGCCATAATCCAAAAGTGAGTTTCTGACATTGTGATGAGATTGGCATGAAATGACTTTGTTATTTTCAAGTGCATTTGTTCCCCTCCACAGAAGCAGGCATGTTTGGAGGTCATGCATCAAACCTGTTCCAAGCGATTCACACAGAATTCCAGTACAGGCTTTGAACCATGAGGAATTTTACAGCTCAAGTCGTCCATATAGTCCACTGGTATCAGAATGTCAGTGTTTGACTCCCATCCTTTTGTGCATCTAGCTGATAATCTAGCTAGTCACGGTATCAGACTTCTAGGGTCAACACTTGTAATGCCTCCATCAAACACTGGCATTTGATTGGCACTTCCATCCAGCTATCTTATTGAACACTTGTGTTTGATGTTTTCGACTCCCCATCCTTGTGGACCTCTAGCTAGTAATCCAGCTGCTCATCCTGTAGAACTTCTAGGGTCGACTCTCGCAATATCTACATCAAACACTTGCAGTTGATGTTTTTGACAAATCCATGTGGACCTCCAGCTAGTAATCTAGCTGGCCATCCTATTGAACTTCCAGGGGCGATGTTAAGGTCGTACTCTCATAGGATCGGATCCAAAGGACTTCGGCCTCAGCTCGTACGCTGTGCCCCTTTCCCAAGTACTGTCCCTTATTTCAGAGACTAATGATAACGCGTCCAAAGGTCCGGACGAGTCTCGTAGTTATATCTGAAGATAGAGGTGGAGACGTAGACTATTGGAATTGATCCGAAGTCTCAGAGATCGACAAGAGTTGATTAGACTCAAGTCCGGAGGACAGAAAGAGGACAAACTAAGATGATATTCGAACTGAGGTACTACAGGAAATATACACGGGTTTATATACTAAGAGGATAACGGAAGGATCAATAAGCAAAGGTCCGAGGCTATGTACGAAGCATATGCAAAGCTTATCAAACACGAGTCGGAAATGAAGCATAGGATAACGGATCAGTAATCATACCGGTAATAAGTATAACCGAGACACCGGGAAGAGGAAATACTGAATAGGCTGTGTTTAACATTATATGAACAGGAAATGAATTAAGAAGCTTATCGGATATCAGATTGGACGCGGATCTATGCATCGGACCGGACCGGATCTAAGGGTCCGAAGTCCGGAAGAGAAGCGTGAATATATGGGATATGACACCAGCCTGGTGCCCATCTGACAAAACGGAGAGGTTGTCTGCAAGTCGTGTTCAGTCTTGGCGAAGTTCATCAGGCTGGGGGGATCTTGCTATGCCAGGGAAGGTCTTACCGGGCTGCACCACTTTTGCCAATAAGGAGAATGTGTTTATATTACAAAATCCACTGTAGGTACACCATTGTAACTCTACTTTCATCCTCACTAACTCCACTACTCCCATAGTGCTAATATCTTCAGGCTTCATGGAATCGCCAAGACAATCCCTGTCCCTGCACATAGCCCAATCAAGAAAATAGATGATGAACCAGCTGCCTCAAATGGACTATCAGACAATAAGGCCATGAAAAAGAAGATGCACCCAGGTGTAACAAAGGATGTGCAGCAAGTTTGAACATTTTTTCAGTGTTTCATGCTAATTATCTTTACAGAAACTTATGTACATCGTGCTGGTTGAAGCAAGTGAAGACAAATGGCACGACAGATGAATTCTGCTTGTATTGGGCCACCCTCACATCTGCACAATGGGACAAATAGAAAGCTGATGTTAAGCGGTTAAGTTCATGTGCAGCCGCAGAGAGCTTGAACAACAACCTCAAACCTGTGTCAAATGAATAACAATAATTGTCTCCAAAGTGAGCATCATGGAGAAACTCTAAAAGCATGTGTCCAACAGCACAGTGGCTTCTCAGCTTGTGTACAAGTCTAAGGTGGCATGCTAGTTGCTAATTCAGCCACTTGTCCAACTGACAGTACAACCCCAGAAGATCAGAAAGTGCTTCGACACACCAACCCAACAGGGCCAGATTCTCAGAACTGGCTGTCTGCCAGCCACAAATTCCAATGCCAATGGGAATGAAAGAATTGGGACTGGCAGCCACATATTTAATTCCAACAAGAGGAAGAAAGGAATGCATCGAAAAATAGTAAGAAACCCTATAATGAACCAGGCTTCTTAATGCCAACAGATATCAGTGCATACCCCTGACACCAACAGTATGCCCCATTGCTAATGGACCATCCGCAGGCAAGGCTTTCTGCTGCAATATAAAAGATAACAGTCTATACTCGAAAACTCACCTCTTATACCCCTGCTATTCTTATTGTTACCAAACTGTTCTCTGTGGTGTGCTCAAAAGGAGGAATGCCTAAAACCTGCAAAGCAATTGTAAATCCATTATACTGGTCAGACAATTTCATTTCAACTCGCCTGTCGAAGTAGAAAATAAGTTAAAAAAGGGTTTTCAGCGGCTGCAACTGCTGCAGAAACAGGTAATGCACCAGCTAATATGGCGAGACCAAACATCCCAGTCCAGATGCTAAGTTCGCCCACATAACTACACATGATGTATGAGCCTAAATCATAACAGGAAGATATTGAATGATGACTCTAGCTCCATACTCCCTTGGAAATGAAAGAATCTTCATATTTTTTCACTGTGCCACATATATTTCTGCCTGTCCCTTATGGCTTTGAGTGCTAGAGAACCTGCAACCAAGCAAGAGAAATAAAATCATTGCAGGGTGAGCTGATGCAGGAACAATGTCTGATTGTTGTGAGTACATCAAATGACATAACCTGAAGAAAGAAACATGCTTATGATATAAATGGGCAATCTAATGTCAAATATACAGCTAGCTTGTCAATGCACCATCTATGCGCTGGTAAAGTTATGTTCATTTATGATCTAAATTTCTTCAGCTACCACACTTAGCTCCAAGGTAGGTCCTCCTAAGGAATACCCTCGTTGTATAGTCATTGAGGCTTGGCAGCTTCCTGGCCAAAGAGTCAATTAAAATGGGTAGTGATTCGCATTTCAAGAGGACAAGGTCAAGAGTGGTTGAAAAGAAGCCTGTAGTACCAGAAATCAAAAGCCTGTCTTCAGCTTTAGGAACAAAGATGCAGGCCAAGCCTACTTGCTGCACATAAGCACTCACTGCAATGGGTATGCTTGTGCATTTTGAGGGTCAGAGTTTATTTGTGCTTATGAGTCCGCAACATAGACGAAAACACCAGACCCAACTCCAAATATGATAGATGAGACAATATCCAATATAGGCTCTATGACCCCAAAGGACCACACTCTGAAGCAAAAAAAAAAAGACCATATTGTCCATAAGTTAGATATCTATTGAATGGAGCAGGTAATGTCTTCCTCACTTCAAGTTCACTCTCACTACAATCTCTTCCAGAAACCAAAGATCATTGTAATGGTAAACCATCTTATTATCCAGTAAGTAGCGAGTAATAAAGTGTACCAGCTTTGGTGTAGGGTCACAAAAGGCAAGGCCAACCATATTGTAAACGAGGAAATGCTATTCTTCAGCTTCTTTTGCAAGGGGTGTTATGAATGTTCCATTTGTTATCATGATGGAGGACATCACCAAACTCGACTATCAACATCACAAGAATTCCAAGATACAGAGTGATAACATTGGGGGTCATCACATAAAACCTGTGGACCTAAAGTTCGCCAGCAATAAGTCTTAGAAGTGGCCTCCTTGTTCAGACGAATGAGATCACAAAACCAAGCAGTTAGATTGCCCTTGTATTGAGCTGAGAGTTTGATATGAAGCTTAAATTGACACTTTGAGTGCAGTTGACATAGTATTTGCCAGTGCATTGGTTCACCTAAAGTCCCAGAGCAAAATCACAGGTCTATAATCTGTGCCTCAAAGAAAGTGTGAGCAAAGTATGTCTTTTTAGGTGACATCTTATGCAGTAGTTGGAATGCCCTTCCTAGCCAGCCCTAGTGTAAGCTTGTCTGCTCATCATGAGATAGATGTAAGATGTGAGTTTGTTTTGGATAGTGGTGAATGCCCTTATGAAAGCAGTAGATACCTCTTTTGAATGAATACAACACTATTATGAAGCCGCAGTTGATATGCTTAAGCTGACTACCACAAAGGCACAATGCATTGTTTTCCCACGATACCAGCCCTGCGTGTCTGTGGATGTGTGACTACCTTACAGGTAAGTTCATCACAAGTAATGACACTTAGGCAAACATGTCTCATCTTTTGCCTTGCAACTACACTAATACAACAATACAGGACTGACATGCATGATGTATACTAGTAGTGTGAGCACAGAGGACAAGCACTATAATTTGGTCAGAAGTGAATACAGCACTATAGAGCCTATATACAGGCAGACACTCAAATGTTGATCATTAACGAGGATTTAACTTAAAAGTGTTTGGAATAAATGTTCGAACATGATCCATAGCCTACAATTTGTTATAGTGTCCTAACTGGGGTGCAAGTGGATAAAACAAGGGTGTGAGAGGGTGCAACAGAGGTGCACCAGAGGTGTGAGAGGATGCGACAAAGGATGCATCAGGGGATGCAATGGATGGGTGCGAGATGATGCGCAGAATACTAATTAGTGTGCTAAGAACTTGGGAATGATGTGATCATATACCTGGAGCAAAACTATTGAAACACACCTGAAAAACTACCAAGCTGACCCAAGAAAAGCAATATATTGAATAGTGCTCGTATTAGTGGAGTAAGTATATATAAACAAATTGAATGAGCAGCAGCAAGGGCACAACATGTGATAGTGCATGTGAAGCTATGACTCGTGTGGTAGTGGAGGCATGATGAGTGGTGGTGGTAGTACAGTAGGTAGTAATAGGTGTGGTACCGGAATAGTGTCGGTACAGATTGGCAGCATTGGAGATATCTGAAGGTTTACATAGGAGGGGCCATGGAGGCTCATAAGGTTTATAGGCACCGAGAAGTGCTGCCTGAGGTGGGGATTTCCTCGCCCACTTCATTTGAATCAAAGGCCTCAGTGCCTTGACTTTCCAGGGTGCCCGGAATAGTCTGACATGGTAT